ACTGTTCTAGAGTCCAGTGGCAGCGTGCTTTACACCACTGCATCCGATGCATTGCATTGCACTTGGTGATGTAAAGCTTGGATGCAGCTGCTCGGCATGGAAACCCATTCCATGAAGCTCTCTACATACTGTTGTGCTAATCTGAAGGCCACACCAAGTTTGGAGGTCTTTAGCTATTGACTCTGCAGACAGTTGGCGATTTCTGTTCTGTATTCTTCAGCATGCACTGACCCCGCTCTGTCATGTGACGTGGCCTACCAGTTGGTGGCTGAGTTGCTGCTGTTCCCAGTTGCTTCCACTTTGTTATAATCCCACTAACAGTTGAGTGTGGAATATTTAGTAGCCAGGAAATGTCACGGATGGACTCATTACACAGGTGGCAACCTATCACGGTACTACACTGGAATTCACTGAGCTCCTGAGAGCGACCCATTCTTTCACAAATGATTGATTTTCTACAACTGTGGCCATTCACATTCAGGTGATTGGAACACCTGAATCCAATGATTTCGAGGGGTGTCCCAATACTTGTCAATATAGTGTTTTTTATATATATATATATATATATATATATATATATTATATATATATATATATATATATTTATTTTTTCAATAAAGCACTGTATCTGGCATTCGCTGAACATTCAGTGCAGGTGAATTGTCCAGGTGCACGTGTTTTAAAGGAGTAAATTCACCAGCAGTGAACAGTAGATTTTTATATTTTACGATATAGGTTGCCTGTAATCCAGAGGGTCTTTATGTAATCCGATGTGCTGTTTAGGATATTCCTGAGAAAGCTGATAAAATGTACAAGCTCTTTGTTAAAGTGCAAAGCAGGCAAGCAGCATTAAAGTGCATAATCCTCCATATAAAATTGTAATGTTCCCAGTACTCCACACCTGATTAGTGTCTTGAATGGTTGCAATTTTATATGGAGGATTATGCACTTTAACTTTCTGTTGTGTCCTACGGACACAGCTGATCACGTGATATGGTAAACGGACGATCACAGCGCCCTGTTACCACGTGATCAGCCGTGTCCAATTACACACTGATCACTGGGAAATGCAATTGCCGGTTATCGGCTGCACTTTTCTCACGCTGTCACAGCCTAAGGAAAGTACTGCTGAGAACCGGCAGTTGTTAGAGGAGGGATCGGCACCGATCATCAGGGCACTGATTATCAGTGCCTATCAGTGCCGCCTATCAGTGTAGCCTCATCAACGCACATCAGTATAGGAGAAAAATTACCTGTTTGCAAAATTTTATAATAGAAACAAAGAAAAACGTTTATATTTTTTTGCACTATAAAGCAAAAAAAAAAAAAAAAAAACACCCCACGGCAAGTAAATACCACCAAAAGAAAGCTCTATTTGTGTGAAACAAAATGGTAAAAATGTCATATGGGTACAGTGTTGCATGACTGCGCAATTGTCATTCAAAGTATGACAGCGCTGAAAGCTGAAAATTGGCCTGGGCAGGAATGGGGTACAAGTGCCCGGTAGGAGGTCTGTGCTCCTGTGTAGGAGGTCTGTGCTCCTGTGTAGGAGGTCTGTGCTCCTGTGTAGGAGGTCTGTGCTCCTGTGTAGGAGGTCTGTGCTCCTGTGTAGGAGGTCTGTCCTCTGTGCGTGTCGCTGATCACCGTGTGATTTGCGCCCTGTGTAGGTCGTCTGCGCCCTGTGTAGGTCTGTCCTCTGTGCGTGTCGCTGATGGTCGTGTAGGAGACCTGCGCTCTGTGCGTGTCGCTGATGGTCGTGTAGGAGATTTCTGCGTGTCGCTGATCGCCGTGTAGGAGGTCTGCGCCCTGTGTAGGAGGTCTGCGCCCTGTGTAGGAGGTCTGCGCCCTGTGTAGGTGGTCTGCGCCCTGTGTAGGTCTGTCCTCTGTGCGTGTCGCTGATGGTCGTGTAGGAGATTTCTGCGTGTCGCTGATGGTCGTGTAGGAGACCTGCGCTCTGTGCGTGTCGCTGATGGTCGTGTAGGAGATTTGCGCGTGTCGCTGATGGTCGTGTAGGAGATTTTCTGCGTGTCGCTGATGGTCGTGTAGGAGATTTGCTGCGTGTCGCTGATGGTCGTGTAGGAGATTTGCGCGTGTCGCTGATGGTCGTGTAGAAGATTTGCGCGTGTCGCTGATGGTCGTGTACGAGATTTGCGCGTGTCGCTAATGGTAGTGTAGGAGATTTGCGCGTGCCGCTGATGGTCGTGTAGGAGATTTGCGCGTGTCGCTGATGGTCGTGTAGGAGATTTGCGCGTGTAGGAGATTTGCGCGTGTCGCTGATGGTCGTGTAGGAGATTTGCGCGTGTAGGATTTGCGCGTGTCGCTGATGGTCGTGTAGGAGATTTGCGCTTGTCGCTGATGGTCGTGTATGATAAGTAATTCAGGGATACATTGCTTTATCTGTAGACATAAATACACACGGAGAATATTTTGACATTGGGATTGGTGTGAAGACAGATTTTCCACAGCTTTAAATTCCAGGGCAAGTCTGTGTCTGAGTGAACCGTCTGAGAAATTTGGATGTAGAGATAAGCTGGAGTACAGGATTCAGGGGGATGAAGGATGTTGTGATTGGTGATTAGGACATTTTTCCTGGCCGTGCAAAACATTAGCAGGAACCTGACACCTGAATGGAGCTGCAGGTCTAAATTCACACAGCTGCTCATTAAAGTGAACCCATACCTGAATGTTAATTTCCTCTGTTAGAGCTGAACTATTAAATACATATAGGAGAGTTTTATTTCCTGCCAAAGAAATTTTCTTTCTGTCCACCCAGTCCTGAGATTTATACATTTCTGCCCCTCAGCACAGCCCTGTCCGGCAGGGGAGAAGACCTGACCTTTTATATGCTGCAGTTTCACTTTCACTTATAGGTCCCCTACTCACACCCACCCTGTGACTGGACATTGAAAGGAGAGGCTGATGAGCTCATCTCTCTGGTCTTTCCTCCTATCTGCATGATACTTACATTGCAGCACGACCGATTGGAACTTTTGTGTGTCTGATGATTGTTGTCACAGAACTGATGGGTGTTCTTTTACCTGGCAAAGGATATTTTTCAGTCCACCCCATCCTAAGATTTATACAGCTCTGCCACAGCACAGTCCTCCCTGGCAGGGAGACCTGATCGTTCTTTGTCACATGTTCAGCAGGTAGATTTTCTCAAATTCTTGGAGTTCATCTATAAAGCGATTCTAAAGGGGTTTTTTTTTTTTTTTTTTTTTGTAAAATACCAAACGTGTCTATACTTACCTGCAGGGTGCGGTGGTTTTGCACAGAGCAGCCCAGATCCTCCGCTTCTCGGGTCCCTCACAGGCTCTCCTGGCTCCTCCTGTTTGGTGCCCCCACAGCAAGCTGCTTGCTATGGAGACACCTGCTTCTCCGTGTGTCCATTCACACATGGAGCCATGGCTTGGCCCTGCCCCCCTCTCTCTCATTGGCTGACTGGCTGTGATTGACGTCTGGATCGCGATGAGGCTCAGGTAAGTATTGAGGGGGCTGGGGGCACTGCTGCACACACAGAATGCATGAAGGTAAAAAAACCATCATCCTTTACAACCACTTTAAATGTAAAGATTTAGGGAATTAATTACTATATAATATTATGCCTTTTTTAATACTTGCCTGCCATTATAGGTCCTTTGCACACAGGACAGTTCATCTGCAGAGCATCCCTCCTGGCACCTGGAAGGGACAAGTGCATTGTCCATCCCTGCTGCAGGCAGCCTGTCAAAATTTTATTTATTTATTTCAGATACTTATATAGCGCCGTCAATTCACGCAGCACTTTACATATATATTGTACATTCACATCAGTCCCTAACCCTCAAGGGGCGTACAATCTAAGGTCCCTAACTCACATTCATACATATACATACTAGGGACAATTTTTAGACAGGAGCCAATTAACCAACCAGCATGTCTTTGGCGTGTGGGAGGAAACCGGAGCACCCGGAGGAAACCCACGCAGGCACAGGGAGAACATGCAAACTCCAGGCAGGTGGTGCCGTGGTTGGGATTTGAACCAATGACCCTAGTACTGCCAGGTGGAAGTGCTAACCATTTAGCCACTGTGCTGCCCGGCAGGCTCTGGCTGAACGGAGCTGAATGCTTTACCAAGTGATAGGACCATGTCTTTTAAGGGGCAAGGTTCCCGAAGACACCAGATGCTGCACCTCTCCCTCTTGTGCGTGCTGCAACTTAGAGCAGGGGTGTATTTACCACAAGGCATTTGCCTAGGGTGGCATTTTTTCAGGGGGGGCAGCACTGCCCCTCGGAAGAAGGGACACACGCGGCATGGGGACATGGTGGGTTCCCAGAGAGGTTGCGGGTTTCATGACTGTGTATGCAGAGCCCGACTCCCTTTCCTGGGGATGTGAAGGTGAGTCTCTCTCTCGCATGGGGGGTGGTGGCTGGTGTATGGGGGGCAGTGGTAATGGAAGGCTCTCTCGGGTGGCAGTCAGGGGTGTTGTTGGTCAAGGTCAGGCTCTTTCTGTGGGGGGGCGCTGATTTTGTGTTGCCTAGGGCAGCACAAAACCTAAATACACCACTAACTTAGAGGTCCCATGTGCAAGAGGCCGTAAAAGTTTCCTTTAAGGTCCTGTTTACATCAGAACGCAGTGCGGCAAATCTACATTCCGTGCGCATTTCCTGCACAGCGTTCAAAATGCACTGCAGTTGCGGGTGTCAGTATAACTCCACTTTTGTTGAGAAAAATACTTTCCCCTCTGGGTGATCTCTGTACATTGCTGGGATTTTAACAAACTTTGTTGCAGATTCCTACCTCTTGTTATTCTGAAGAAATAGCTGTTTGTCTGCGTCCATGTGTAAAGGGCACTACTTTTTCTGCAGTGTAGTGTGATTTGAGCCCATTCAAAATAATCCGCACTGAACCATCGGGGAATGTGCAGTGCGTCCCCGGCCCAAGGAATGTGCAGTGCGTCCCCGGCCCTTAGAGCAGTTCCTGTGATCTGTCATTGTCACCATCCGTTTTCTATTTGCAGACACAGCAGAAGGAAAGTGCTTGGCTCTTGTGGACGGAGGACCCGGATCTTCCTAAAGAGATAGCAGAGTGGCTGCGGGTTCCCTGGGAAGCTGAATATCACATACACTTCAATCCGGTTATTCATGAGACCCTGGACTGAGGTGCAGGCCATTGTAGAGACGTATGGTACACGATTACTGAGTCACAGCAGGATTGTGTCCAGTATGCCGTGTCCCGTGGCAGGCTGGTGTCCCTGGGAGAGAGGAGAGTGCTGACACCCCGCCCAACCTGTGCTAGGAGATATGACAGACTTTGCACTATTGTTTGTTTGTTTTGTTTTTCTAATTTCTGAAATGTTCCCATTTTAATGTAATATTATAATAAAGTTTCTACCCCATTTTACAGGATTCCTTCTGGGCTTTATCTCTGCACCAACTTTCTTTTTGTGTTTCTCTCCATCCAGTCCTGAGATTTACACAGCTCTGACACACACAGCACAACCCTGTCTGGAAGGGGAGGAGGCCTGATTTATCTGCTGCAGGTAAGCAGCACCCACACCTAGCGTCTTGTCCCTCCCCCAGACTGTGATTGGACAGTGAAAGGAGAAGCAGCAGACTAATGAGCTCATCTTTCTGTCTCGTCCAATCAGCAAGGACCTTGTGAGCACTCCAGCACAGCCAATTGGTTTCTTGTGCGATTTCTCACTCTCCTAGCCAGGGTTCTGCTCGACTGTTTAGGCATTGCAAGAGGGCGATACCAAGTCAAAATCGCGTACTTTCACCGCTGGTAATGAAAAAAAAAATTTTACATTTTAAAGCTGAAATGCATCCAAAAACAAGCTAAACATGAACATCCCATTAAAAGGTGAAAGTGTTACTAAACCCAGGAGATTCACTATATCTGGTCTCCCCAGACACTGCATTCACTATATCTGGTCTCCCTGGTCCCTGCATTCACTATATCTGGTCTCCCTGGTCCCTGCATTCACTATATCTGGTCTCAGGACCCTGCATTCACTATATCTGGTCTCCCCGAACCCTGCATTCACTATATCCGGTCTCCTCAGGACCCTGCATTCACTATATCTGGTCTCCCCGGACCCTGCATTCACTATATCTGGTCTCCCCGGACCCTGCATTCACTATATCTGGTCTCCTCAGGACCCTGCATTCACTATATCTGGTCTCCTCAGGACCCTGCATTCACTATATCTGGTCTCCTCAGGACCCTGCATTCACTATATCTGGTCTCCTCAGGACCCTGCATTCACTATATCTGGTCTCCCCGGACCCTGCATTCACTATATCCGGTCTCCTCAGGACCCTGCATTCACTATATCTGGTCTCCCCGGACCCTGCATTCACTATATCTGGTCTCCCCGGACCCTGCATTCACTATATCTGGTCTCCTCAGGACCCTGAATTCACTATATCTGGTCTCCTCAGGACCCCGCATTCACTATATCTGGTCTCCCCTCACCCCGCATTCACTATATCTGGTCTCCCCGGACCCCGCATTCACTATATCTGGTCTCCCCGGATCCCGCATTCACTATATCTGGTCTCCCCGGATCCCGCATTCACTATATCTGGTCTCCCCGGACCCCGCATTCACTATATCTGGTCTCCCCGAACCCCGCATTCACTATATCTGGTCTCCCCGAACCCCGCATTCACTATATCTGGTCTCCCGGACCCCGCATTCACTATATCTGGTCTCCCCGGACCCCGCATTCACTATATCTGGTCTCCCCGGACCCCGCATTCACTATATCTGGTCTCCCCGGACCCCGCATTCACTATATCTGGTCTCCCCGGACCCCGCATTCACTATATCTGGTCTCCCGGACCCCGCATTCACTATATCTGGTCTCCCCGGACCCCGCATTCACTATATCTGGTCTCCCCGGACCCCGCATTCACTATATCTGGTCTCCCCGGACCCCGCATTCACTATATCTGGTCTCCCCGGACCCCGCAATCACTATATCTGGTCTCCCCGGACCCCGCATTCACTATATCTGGTCTCCCCGGACCCCGCATTCACTATATCTGGTCTCCCCGGACCCCGCATTCACTATATCGGGTCTCTCCCTGAGACCCCGCATTCACTATATCGGGTCTCTCCCTGAGACCCCGCATTCACTATATCCGGTCTCCCCCTGAGACCCCGCATTCACTATATCCGGTCTCCCACAGTACACACAACATGGAAGTGTCATTATTTTATAAACTGCTAAATACCTTTTCTCATCAGCAGTATACTGCAGTCTTGTGACTTCTATCAGTGTCCAGCAGAGCACTGGTTAAAGCTTGTAGGAGGAGCTTTCATTCTCCTCTCACTCCCTATTAGGCTGCATAACCCCTGACCCTCTGTCTGTACAGTGCTGGGTCCTGTGCTGATCACATGCACCCTCCCAAGAAAACAGGAAAAACTCTATCAGTACACACCAAACTGAACATGTGCAGAGTGTCCCAGAGGCTCTGTTCTATCAGGAGATGAAATGGGGAACGTGGAAGGGGAGGATCAGAGAAGACCGGGTCAAACAGCCTTTTTACACAATGCAGAGGATTAACCCCTTAGGTTCCACAGTGAGTATAACAAGCATGCTTTACTGCATATACAGACTGATTGCACTGTTGTGGGTTTAGTAACACTTTAAATGACAAAATCAGCTTTTGCGGCAATATTTATTCTAGAGTTTTCCTCAGTAGTACTTTTTATCTGCTGCTAGATGTCCTTGGTCTAATGACCAGCATCATTCAACCCACTTCCTCTGAGCCCAGGTTGCCCTGGACCTGCCCCCCATTCTGGGATTAGACGGTGAAAGAAGTAGCAGAGGGAAGAGCTCATCTGTCACTATGTTCCCTTCCTGTGAGTTGGAGACCTTCCTTCTCTTCAGTCTCCTGCCACTGTAATAAGCTGTTGGGATTTCAGGAAATATCCAATGCTGGCATGGAGGAGCTGGTGACCTGGTACTTCCAAGGCTAGGTAGGGAAATGTTCATCAATGGCAGCCTCCCTGTTTGTCTTACTGGCAAGGTTTGTCCTTGAAATATTTGGTTGAAGAGCCTGTCTACACTTGCACATGCACTTCGAGTGGAGCCCCCATTGCTGTGTAGTAAGATCACATGTACAGTGGGGCAAAAAAGTATTCAGGCACCAATTGTGCAAGTTCTCCCACTTAAAAAGATGAGAGAGGCCTGTAATTGGCATCATAGGTAGACCTCAACTATGAGAGACAAAATGAGAAAACAAATCCAGACAATCACATTGGCTGATTTGGAAAGAATTTATTTGCAAATTATGGTGGAAAATAAGTATTTGGTCACCTACAAACAAGCAAGATTTCTGGCTCTCACAGACCTGTACCTTCTTTTTTAAGAGGCTCCTCTGTCCTGCACTCATTACCTGTATCAATGGCACCTGTTTGAGGTTGTGGACAGGTGTCTTTTATACTGATAACAAGTTCAAACAGTCACACTCCAAACTCCACTATGGTGAAGACCAAAGAGCTGTCGAAGGACACCAGAAACAAAATTGTAGACCTGCACCAGGCTGGGAAGACTGAATCTGCAATAGGCAAGCAGCTTGGTGTGAACAAATCAACTGTGGGAGCAATAATTAGAGAATGGAAGACATACAAGACCACTGATAATCTCCCTCGATCTGGGGCTCCACGCAAGATCTCACCCCGTGGGGTCAAAATGATCACAAGAACGGTGAGCAAAAATCCCAGGACCACACGGGGGGACCTAGTGAATGACCTGCAGAGAGCTGGGACCAACGTAACAAAGGCTACCATCAGTAACACACTACACCACCAGGGACTCAGATCCTGCAGTGCCAGACGTGTCCCCCTGCTTAAGCCAGTACATGTCCGGGCCCGTCTGAAGTTTGCTAGAGAGCATTTGGATGATCCAGAAGAGGATTGGGAGAATGTCATATGGTCAGATGAAACCAAAATAGAACTGTTTGGTAGAAACACAACTCGTCGTGTTTGGAGGAGAGAGAATGCTGAGTTGCATCCAAAGAACACCATACCTACTGTGAAGCATGGAGGAGGCAACATCATGCTTTGGGGCTGTTTCTCCACAAAGGGACCAGGACGACTGATCCATGTACAGGACAGAATGAATGGGGCCATGTATCGTGAGATTTTGAGTGCAAACCTCCTTCCATCAGCAAGGGCATTGAAGATGAAACGTGGCTGGGTCTTCCAACATGACAATGATCCCAAACATACCGCCCGGGCAACGAAGGAGTGGCTTCGTAAGAAGCATTTCAAGGTCCTGGAGTGGCCTAGTCAGTCTCCAGATCTCAACCCCATAGAACACCTTTGGAGGGAGTTGAAAGTCCGTGTTGCCCCAGCGACAGCCCCAAAACATCACTGCTCTAGAGGAGATCTGCATGGAGGATGGGCCAACATACCAGCAACAGTGTGTGCCAACCTTGTGAAGACTTACAGGAAACGTCTGACCTCTGTCATTGCCAACAAAGGATATATAACAAAGTATTGAGATGAACTTTTGATATTGACCAAATACTTATTTTCCACCATAATTTGCAAATAAATTCTTTCCAAATCAGCCAATGTGATTGTCTGGATTTTTTTTTTCTCATTTTGTCTCTCATAGTTGAGGTCTACCTATGATGCCAATTACAGGCCTCTCTCATCTTTTTAAGTGGGAGAACTTGCACAATTGGTGGCTGACTAAATACTTTTTTGCCCCACTGTATGTCCTGCAGGCCAGTGCATTCAAAGCAGTTCAGGGTTTTGCCAATACAGAGCAAAACAGGAGGGTCACTTCAGCATCTCCCCCCACCCCCAACAGTGCATACTTACCTTTCCTCTGCTCCCTCACTGCTCCTTTTTCCACGGGGAGTGAGGAAAGGAAACCCGGGTAAGCTACTGGTGCCTGTGCAGTTCTTTGCTATATTCACAAATGTCTGACACAGATCAGCCCCTGCTGCAGCCTCTCACCTTGTGACTCTATTCAGTTACAGTGTTGCAGTCTGATTACTGGGGGAGAAGAGACTGAGATATGCTCTTGCTTGCAGCAGACTGATGACATCCTGGCATAGGCAGAGTCACTGACTGCAGTACAAGGACAGATTTTAATGATCAAAGTATATCTTTTGAATATACTGTTAATTTTTTTGTGACATGTTAGGAATCTATTCATTGAGACTTTTAAGTTTCACTTTAATACACAAAGATAAATAATTGAAAAGCTACAAATTTAATTGCAGGTGCAGTGCAGAGGAACAAAGGGAAGTTAGTTCCTGTAGATATGAGTGATCAGATTCTAATCTAGAGAGTACTCGAAGAGCTCGCCTGCATTGAGATTTGATGACAGGTTCACTTTAATCACTTGTGCCTGCACTGCCTGAAACAATAAGCGACGTTTGAAGGGACACGCGCTTCCTTCACGTGTGGCGTGTCCAGGATGTTTTCTTTATCCAGGGAGCTGGCTCAATGTGCTTCTCTGAAAGAAGCAATTTCCTGAGCGGGTTAACCTGTTCCAGGGCTCCTCTGTTCTCTGAATACATCTCAATGTCCTCTCTGGATATTCCATAGAGTAGTGGTGGCCAGTTTCTTCATACTGGGGAATCAAGTGCAACTCCCAACATCACCAAAGAGCCACAAATAAAATGTCATAGACTGCAGGTACACAACAGTATATAGTCAGACTATGGGTATGATACAAGAAATGGTCAGACTGTATACTGTACGATACAAGGGATGGTAAGTAACTGTGGACATGAGACAGGAGATGGCTAGAGACTGTGGACATGAGGAGACAGGAGATGGTCAGGGACTGTGGACATGATACAGGAGATGATCAGAGACTGAGAACATGATACAGGAGATGATCAGAGACTGTGGACATGATACAGGAGATGATCAGAGAATGTGGACATGAGGAGACAGGAGATGGGCAGGGATGTGGACATGAGGAGACAGGAGATGGGCAGGAGACTGTGCGGGACAGAGACTGTGGACATGAGACAGGAGATGATCAGAGACTGTGGACATGAGACAGGAGATGATCAGAGACTGTGGACATGAGACAGGAGATGATTAGAGGCTGCGGACATGAGACAGGAGATGATTAGAGGCTGCGGACATGAGACAGGAGATGGTTAGAGGCTGCGGACATGAGACAGGAGATGGTTAGAGGCTGCGGACATGAGCGGACATGATGCAGGAGATGATCAGAGACTGAGAACATGCTACAGGAGATGATCAGAGGCTGAGAACATGCTACAGGAGATGATCAGAGGCTGAGAACATGCTACAGGAGATGATCAGAGGCTGAGAACAT